AAGGCAGGTTTCAGGGTCTTGCCTTACTACAGAGCATGCCTGTGGAGAGGTTCACTTCTTCATCTCCTCACCCCATCCCATTCCTTCCCAGCAAAAGCTGTTCTGCTAAGTATGTCTTTCAGCACATTCAGCCACACCCCTGAGAGCCTGTCCCTAAATACAATCGTGTCTATCTCCTTACATTTCTAGTGATTTTTGTCATCCCCAAGAGTAGAAAGTGGAGCCTCTTCTCTTGATGTAGTTCCTTGGGAATCCAAGAGCAGAGGCACAGAGAAGCACAGATGTGAATGGGAAGACAGAGGGGCATCCTATCAGAGAGGGAACCGTGAGCAAGACTGCCTAAAAGTACAGCCAGAGATTTACACATGGGTGGCCACTCTCTACATACCTTGACCACACCCTCGTTGGCCACAACCTCCTGCTTTCCCCCTCTCTCCAACCACAGAACCACGGTTCGACCTCAGCTAGACTCTTGTGGGCCAGTCTCTCCCCCTGTAGTCAATCAAAGTTCCCTGGATACTGGGCTGCAGATCTCCTGCCACTCCTGGCCCATAAAACATCCACAGTGGTTCCTAGAAAAGATGTCTTCACGGCATTTCTACCTCCCTGCTCTCTCGGACAAAATCAGGAAGGGAGGAGGAACCTTGCTGGTCTTTGAATGGGAACTTTAAGCCCAGGGCAGCCCCAGACCTCAGATGACCCTAGCCAGAGTGGAAGTTCCTCAAGGGCACAAGCTTCCTGCTGCAGCTCTAGAACCTCCCTTGGTGCCCCACAGGGTTTGTGGTTGGTTGAATAAGTGGATTGGAGACCATCTTTTTGGCTTTTTCCTACTTCTGTTTTTTTTTTTTTCTTTCCATACTTGCTTATATTACATCTTCTGGTCAACCCCAGGTACCACCAATAGCTTTTCCCTAGAGTCCATCAGCCCAGACATTACCTGGTTTGCTGACCTCCTGACAGCTTTCATTTGTGGAACCTACCTGGGACAAGACAAGGAGGCCCATGAGTCTGGGAAAGCCCAGCAGAAGACACCACAAAGCAGACTATCTGAGAAGGCTCTCAGGATCTGAGCCCTGGACCCAAACCCCAAATCTAAGCTCCTTTACTGACTCACTGTGACCTTGGGCAACTCAGACCCTCAGTGTCCTTCTCTGTAAAACTGTATAAATGCCAACAACACAAAGGCAGACTACCCACACAATGGAGGTGCACATGAGGTCATACATGTAAAAGTACTTGCTTTGCCAGTGATTGAGCTCCAAATAGGAATTACTATTGTAATCATCTCATAAAGACAGAAAGCATCATTGTATCATATGTAGAAATAAAAGATTTGCATGGATGCAGCTCTGGCTGTGTTCCCCTCATTTCTACCCAAGGTCATTATATAAGACTCCTAAAAATTCTCTGCTTATTGGGGATCTGGGTTAGGATTTAGGGTGCAGGAAGGAATACAGGAGGAGGATTGGAGATAAAGTGTGGAACAAACCTTGTATGGCTCTGGATGGTGGGAAATTGGTTCTTTTAGGCCTTAGGCAAAATTGTCCAGGAGGCCAAGTATATCTTGAGTGCTCCATGGCTCATCTCTCCCCTGGCCTGGCACCTAAGTTCGCTATCTTCAAGTCCAAGGTTTTTTTTCCTATTTTATGACCCATTGTGTCAGAACAAGGACTTTTCAGAGATCAGCTTTCCAATCAGAAGGAATGATACACTTCCTGCTGGGAATTTCGGGTATCCTGAAAAGTTGGTGGAAGATGTTTTGCAGGTTTGGGGTAAGTTTGGGAAGGGGGTAAGGCTTATCCTGAACTCCACTCTCTACCTTGGGGCCAGCCCAGATTTTAGGTCCAAGGTGCCTATAACCCCCTCTCCCACACACCCATCCCCTCCACAAAAGAAAGTGTGGCCAGAAGGACTGAAGGATAATGGCAGTTTGGTTCCTTGACTTTCACCATATCAGAAAATCAGACTTGAGCATCACTCATGGTTAGAGAAAGGACATGGGCAGTGGATGGGCACTGGATAGTTGCAAGGATTAGAGATGGGGCCAGGGGGTGAGAATGGAGAGGGTATGCAGACCTCCAGAATGTTCCTTGCCACATATGGAGGCCCACTCTGTGTGAAGGCAGCACAAGCCCATGTCTGTGGCAGGGGGCGGGTATAAGACCACAAAGACAAATTAGCCCTATTCTCAAGTTGGCCAGCCTCTGGTCATTTTGCCTATTTGGGGGAAAGATTTCCATAGTATTACTCTAGGCTCAGGGAATTGCTGGCCCTCTTTCCAGATGACTTGGATGAACCTTTTGGACTCAGAGAAAATTATAAGGCTCAATTGCATGCAATTGGGAATGTCCACCTTAAACATGTCACCTTAAACGTGTCATTAAAACTATTTCAAAGCACTTTACAACGAACTATGAGAGTTTGGAGAAGTACCCACCTGTATCTTTCTCCTCACTTTGGTTACAATTGGTTCGACAATCTGCCTCTGATTTTTTCCAATAGTGAGGATAAAATGAGTTTAAAAAAAAAAAACCACTGGACATTACTAATTTCTCAAAGCATCTTCTGTTTACTTAAAAATTAGAGGAAACCCACAAATATTGGTCTCTATAGGAAATCACACTCACTTTTCTGGCTGGATCTTTAGCAAACCACTTCCCCTCCTTATTTATTCAACATAACTGGAGAGGTTTAAACTCAGTTATCTCTAAGATCCCTTCCTATGATTAAAAAAACGAAGTGTATGGGTGTATAACTTCATAAGTTCCATTTCCATAGGGTTCTTTAGGGTATACAAACCTTCAGCTTCCGGCATGTATGGGTTGAACTGTGTCCTCCTCTCACTCCCCACCAAATTCTAATGTTTAAGTCCTAATTCTCAGTGCCTCTGAACACGACCTTCTCTTTAAGGGCAGTTACTGCATATGTAATGATGTAAAGTGAGGCCATATAGGTGAGGGTAGGCCCATAACCCCTTAAGACTGGTGTCCCTATAAAAATGAAAAATTTGGACACAGACCCAGACAAAGGGAGAATGCTCTGTGAAGACTGGAGTTATACTATCAGAAGTCAAGAACACCAGAGATCAGCAGCAAGCACTAGAAGACAGGAGAAGCATGGAACAGGTACTCCCTCGCAGCCTCAGAAGGAGTCAATCCTACAGACACCCTGATCGTAGACTTCTGGCCTGGAGACCTGTTTAAGCCACCTAGTCTCTGGGACTTTCTGATGGCAGCATGAGCAGGCTAATACAGGGCACTGATCTCCGTGGGTTTGCAGAGAATTCTCGTGCATCTCAGAGGCCCTTGTGAGGTTTCAGTGACTACCCTGCCCACACAAAATATTGCATCTGACCGAAGACGCCCACCAGAGACTAGAAACAGATCTTTACTGAGATCTGTTCGGTGCCAGGCCCAGACATTCTTACATCTCACAAATACCTTGTAAGGTTTTTGGTTCCCACTTAGACCAAGGAGGTTATCAGGGCTCAGAGAGGTCACACTCCAACATTCATAGCCCCAGTCACATGGGGTCAGTGCCTGAGGCAAGGGGTCACAGCCCCGAGGATGTAGGGTCACAACTGTAATCCAGTGGGGTCACAGCCCCTGGCACAGGGGTCACCACTCAGAGGACAAAGTGTCATGGACCTGAGCATGAGTTGTCACAGCCCCGAGGTTGTGAGCTCACAACCCTGATCAAGTGGGAACAATGGACTCAAGCATGTGGGGTCATGACCCCAGGAAAATGGGGTCAAGTCCTCTGGCATGTGGGGTCATGACCTCTTCACTAGGTCCACAGCTCTGAACATGTGGGGTTATAGCCCCAATCATGTGGGGTCACAATTCTGAGGATGTGAGGTCACAGTCTTGAGAAAGTGGTATTAAAATCCGACATTAAAATCTCTCCCATCCATAGTATGTCACAAAACCCTTCAGACTGGTCAGAACAATGACTTTCCATTTGCCATCCTCACCCTCATTCCTCTTCCTTTCATAGTTTTTTAACAGGAAGAATGGAAATCACCTCCCTGCCACCCCCACAAATCAGCTAGCCCATCCATCTAATCGCTGACTTATCTATAGAGTTAATTTATAAAAGAGCACTAATGACATGCCATACCCTAACCTTAAGTAAGAAATCTATTTGCTTTCCTATATTATCCCACCTAGGCAATGCTGGGGCCATAGCAGCTGACTGGACACCACTAGCTAAGTCCTGGGAGATAGAAGGTATTTCTAGCTGAATGGTAGGAACAAGGGCAGCTAGAGTTAAGGAAGGACAAGAGACCGGGCTTCAGTCACAGGCTGAAGTACCCCCGGTCCTGTCGCTCTTCTGTCTTGTGTCCACAGCAGACGTCATGAATGAAGAAGGCGTTTTGTTATCTTGAGCCCAGCCTCAAAATGACTCGCAACTTACAAATAGAAAATAGAACGTATAAATAGAAATCGGACCGAGAGTGAGGGAGAAATCAGGGGTGGTCGTTTATTCATAAACACTTATTTTTTAAGCACTTAATTCCAATAGGTCCCGGTGTTACGAAGTGAGGGGATCAAAAGATGCGAAGCCCAGTAATACATGAATGCTTTCCATTTAGCCTGCCCAAGGTATCAAAAATATTATCGTTTCAACATGTAATCTGCATAAAAGTAGTAACACGCTAGTTCGCATTATGTTTTTCATACTAAGTCTTTGGAAGTCAGGTGTATTTTGCACTTACAGCCCATGTACGATTCAACACGTACTAGCCGCGTTTTAAGTTCTCAAAAGCTGCACGGGCACAACGCTACTTTCAAGGTGCCACAGACATGACCTGCGGACACATGAGCCCGCGGGAACTGCAAGCCTTAAGCTAGAGCCGGTGGCACCTTGCTCCCAGAGGGAGATGTAAACCTCAGCCCTGCGGAGCAAACCCGGAATCGCAGTCCGCCGGGTTCTGTGGGGTCCGACGGGACTTGTAGGCATCTGCCCTGCAGAGCATGACGGGAGTTGTAGTCCGCGCCCGCCTGCGGCGGCTCTGCGTATCATGGCGGGCCACGGCACGCTACCGCACTCTTCCGCTGGGCCCCAGAAAGTTTCGCTTCTGCCCAGCGGTGGACCCACGAGCGCGTAAGTGCCGCGGGGGGCCGGCCGGACCTTGGGGGAGCCTGGGCCGCTGTCGGCCGCGGAGCTGAGAACTTCCCTCCGTACGCGGCTTCTCACCTGTTGCCCTCACTGTCCCCGCCCATCCCGGGTCTCCCCGAGACCCCGCCCGAGCCCTTGCCCTTGCCCAGCTGGCCTGGGAGGCACCTCGGGCGGCGCTGAAACTAACCCTGGAACCCAGGCTACCTCTGGTGGTCAGTTAGAAAGACAGACTCCCCAAACACCAGTTCCAGGACCTCCGATGGCCGAGGGGCCGCCAAGGAGCCCACCATACGGGAGTCTCAGAACAAGCTTTGGATCCTTTAGTTACAGGAGGACAGGTCCCGGAGTTTCTGCTTGCGTTGTCTGGGAGGCTGCTGACCTTAAAAAGCGAAGTTCCTGGCTTCGCTGGCCCGGAACAGCCCAGACCATCCCATTTCGCCCTTCCAACCATAAGGGGACAGTTTGTTCATCCCTTGGCCCATTCTCTTTACCTTGTGTCCAGGTGCAGGATCTCGAGATAGCCTCCAGTGATCTTCCTGAAAACACCTGTGGATTTGGGATTGCAGTGTGGCTGCATGGGACTTGGGCTAAATAAGAGCCTATTCAGAGCCTAGGGTCAGGGTAGGGGGAGGGCTGGGTTTTATTTTTGTGTAAGGCAAGCGTGTGCGGTTGACACATTAACCACGTGGCTCCCTGTTAGTGCACATGTATCCGCTGATGCCCCTTTTCATTCTTCACAGCTCCCACTGGTTGTCCCCTCTAGGAAAAAATAGAGCACTTAAAGAAACTGCTTGTGTTGGCCGCAGGCTCTGTCTCTCTGCTTGTCTCACCGCAGCAGTTTCCTTTCCCATAGAGAAATGGGTCAGGGGCTCTTTGAGGACAGAGGATCAGGCTGTAATCTTCTCACTGCCCTCCTGCCCCTGCAAGCCCTGTGGTCTCTGTAGCAAGCTTTATTCTCCTGCCATCTGCCTAATGCGGCTTCCCCTGTGTGTTGGTGCTCGGAAAACGCCATCTCGCTGAAGTTTAATGCTGTCTGTGGCTCACACCTTCCTAAGTGGGCCCATGTTGAGTGGCCCCCACTCGACCCTCCCTTCTGTGATAGCTACTGTTGATCGGTTACTGAATTCCTTGCCCATTCGTGGGCCATCGCTGTGATCACTCTAGAAATCACGGTTGATTGTCTCAGTGAAGGGACATGGCCCCTTCCGTGATTACAAGGATCTGAAACGGTTCTTGCTTTAGGAAACACGTTTTCTGCTCCTGTTAATAGTGTTCATCTTTGTGTAGTGCTCCATTTAGCTTTTAAATTGTTTTCAGTATTTTATTAGGAAAACATAACCATTGCAAGAGTTGTGTAGTGAACATATGCCCACCTGTTAGAATCCACAAGTCGTATTTGACTTTATTTTTGTAGTTGCTTTGGAGTCTGTCCTCTAGTTGCTCCTTGGCTGGTCTTTGCTTCTTGTGGCTGCTTTTAGGGCCCTTTGAGGGTGGGCAGGATGACCCCCACAGATGTTTGTGATGAGAGGAGTCCCCCTGAACAGATAGTATCAGAGCCGCTGGTGACATTGACGCGTATCAGTCACCGAGGCTGTGGGCTGCCGCCTCCAGAACACATAGTAGGCACCCGAGGAATGGCAGTCCCTCTCTTCCTTTAGGGGAGAGGTTTGGCTGTGGATAACCTGTACTTTCTGGTGAATCCAAGGACGACTTTGGTGACTCAACACTGGAAGGTCTTTAAACACGAGGCAGAGGAAGCATGTAGCCTCGCTGTGGTCTCGCAGTGAAAACCACTGATGGGAGCTCAGAGTTTGGGGCCACGTTCCTTGGAGCAGCCCCAGCACGCATGGCAGGTCAGGTGCGTTGACTGGTGCCTTGTAACAAGCCAGACGCCGCCTGTGAGCAGAGAGGAGTGGAGTTTGGCCTTGTCCACATCTGCTCATCTGCGGAACGTCACTGTGTTGCTCCAAGGATAAACAATATTCCCTCTTTGTGATCTCGGTGCCAGATTTTTGGAGGTTTTGTTTGTTTGTTTTTGTTTTTAAAGCTTTTGATTGGTATAAGAACCTGTGGTTGAAAAGTAAATAAATCAGTAGGATGGATATGGAAATGTCTCCATGGGCCTGGATTTAGCCTTTAGCTGCATCTGGACATACTGTCTGTCACCGGGCTGCCCCATAACACGAGCTTCAGCCCCAGAGCACATGGGCTCATGGCTTTTAGGAGAGGAGGATGTTGGAGCCGTGCTCAGTGGGTCAGGAGGTGTTTTCCCCTCTTCCACATGTTGGCGCCAGTCAGCCCGATGGCTTGCGTGACCACCAGTGGTCCTCCCTCTTCACAAAGGGCTTTGTGGCATTTGAAAGACACCAAGTGCCTGCTTCTAGTTTGGCCCCATCCTGTTGGCAGGGATGAGGACGTGTACATCAGCGTGGTTCTGAGGGGACCCTGTGGTCTGGTTCTGGGGTCCCGGGGCAGGTCTGTCTTGCCACCTCAGGAGCCTGGGGTGCTGCGTCTTTGGCCCGGGGCAAGAAACCGAGTTAGGGGAGCCTGTGGAATCCAGAAGAAAAACATGAGGTGAAAAAGCAATCCAAACAAGTCATTAGTATGCAGGGGGTTAGGCCAAGAGGAGCATCCCTTGTGGAAGGCACAGGATGGACTGGACAGCTGAACTAGATGTGGTGGTTTCACAAGGAGCCAGAAGGATTTCCTCAAGCTGAGCCTGTATAGCCCTGTGGGCTGCTTCCAGGGTGCCTGGAGCCTCGGTCAAGAGCAGGGAGGGGCCACTTAGAAGCCTCCGCCAAAGTTAGCCACTGGGGATGTCTGCTTCTCTCCTTCCCTGCCTCTTCCTTAAGGAAGATAAAGGGTAATCTCCCCACACTGCACACGGGGGAAAACCAAAACCAAAAAACAGGGAAAAAAGAAACCCCACCCAAGATAGGACAATGTCAAATAACTACCCCAAGATAGACAGATTTCCTTAAATTGCCTGATAAGAGTTTGGTGAACCGAATACAGCCCCGGCTCACCCAGTCATGGCATGATCTTTATCACATTACCGATTGCTTGCGAGGGAATGGACATTTCACATGACTAGTCTGATTCCAAAATCCGAGTAGGGTGCAAATAGGCAAGCCTCGGCTCCAACTGGTGAAAGAGAGGACAGTTTTCTTGCCCATTGCCAAACTCCAGCTTCAGAGCCATCCTGGGTCTGGCTTGGGCTTTCTGTCTGCCGGCATAGCCCCACCCCTGCTCTGTCTGTACCGGGATGCTGCTCTTGTCACCCAAGGGCACAGTGGAGCTCAGACCCATCAATACCCACCCCTACCCCCTCCACCCCGACCCTGGGACAGTTCCTGGTGGATGGTTCCAGATCCAAAGGCCTAGTGATGCAGAGAGGGAAGGGCTTTTGTGAGGGTTGGGTGAGGTGGGGGAGGTGGCCAGGGGTTATCCTTGTCCGGATAGGGTGAAGGAGGCTTCTGGGTAAGGCTGCCTCAGGTCGGAGCTGAGGGACACACCTTCTCCCATAGACACACTTAATCTATCCAGTCCCTAAGTTACATTATTCCATTCCTTCTTGGGATAATAATTCCGTACTATTTCCACAGTAATGACGATAGACTGTATGTAATTACAACCTGATTTTTTTAAATGTGTTATTTTAGTGAACATAAAAGTAATTTATGTCCAGGAAAAGAAAATGGAAAAATCAGAGAAATCGAATTTTTTGAAAATTTACCCATGTTTCCTACCATAGAAGGAAGGTTAGCACTATTTACCTGTTGGTACATTTCTATTCCTAAAATTTAGTTTGGTTTGTTGGAGCAAGAGTCTCTGTTTTGGTTTTGTGTGACTGATTCATTCATTCCTCAAAGAATTTATTGTGGGCTCTCCGTGGGTCCGAGCTGTGCTGGGTGCTGGGGGAACTGAGTAGCAGTGGCGCTTACAGGTGGGAAGAACAGGTTAAACAAGAAATTACCATACTGGCAAACAGCCACAAATGTGGCAGAAAGGCAGTGGGGCTTAGAATCATGAGCAGAGTAGAATCTGGTGCCTTCTGTGCTCGCTTGCTTTTCATCAAAGCCCTTCTCGGGCATCAAGTGATCTCTTAGTCGCCTGTCAGCTTAGTAGGGTGGATGCTGTCTGTTCTTCCCTCTGGAGCTTGGGTTTCTTCAAGCCCCAGCCCCTGACTCAGGCCTGCCACTTCCTAGCAAATCCTTCTTACCCGGCTGGCAGTCTCTTAACACATATGGGTAGCATGTGCCATTAAGGCCATGGTTAGTGGCCAAAGCATATTCTGTCAGGGATTTAGTTTGTGATCCGTCGCTGGCTGGACTGACCCCCCCGTTGATGCTCGGGTCAGAAGAGTCTCCCAAGCATATGGCTTTGGAGCCTGTAATTTTCTCCATCCGGATGGGCTTTGTGCTGCGTGGGGGCAGGAAGAAATAGGTGCTCCAGCTGACTTCCCAGGTGTTCGCACACCTGTTCCGGAGACTACCCGGAGTTCCACACAGCCCCTCGCCACCTCCTGGATAGTTTCTCTGGGCCTTCCAGTGGCAAGACCCCAGGTATGGATGTGTGGCTCCTTCCAGAGGAGCTGTTCCCGCTTCCTAAAAAAAAGGCAGCATCCCCCAGGCCCCCAGAGGCAACACCTCCCATCCACAGGTCTCTCGACCCTGCCTTCGTGGGCCGGTGGACTGGACCTGGAGCCAGTTCTCTGTGTTCCAGAGGCAGTGACCAAGAAGCCTGAATCATTGGTGAGAGGGCAAGAGCCAAGAAGAGAAGGTTCAAGAAGAGATGGCAGAGGCTCAAGTCTCCCCTCCCTTTATGAAAGGAGATCGCAAGCAAGGAGTGTGTGGGAAAAAGGACCCAGGCATGCAGTTGGTCAACACTTTAATTAGATCTGAGGGGTTGGGTCACCTCCCGAGCCTCTGTTCACGTGTGCTGAGATGTCTGCCTCTGAGCTGGCCTCTTACAGACTCCTGAGC